ATGATAAGAGATTGATATCTAGAGCTCTCCAAGTTCAGTAATAAGTAAACAACCCATTTTTTAAAGGTAAAGACTAGAACAGACCAAAAAATATATGTAGATGATAATAAGCACATGAAATGATGCTTACCATCTTTGGAAAATACAAATTAAAACCACAGTGAGAGAATGACACACACACTTCTTAAATAATTTGAAACACACACACACACACACACACACACACACACACACAAATTGACCTCCCTAATGGTGTGAATGTAGAGAAACTGGAGCTCTCATACAATTGAGTGACAATGTAAAATGAAACAAACCCTTTGAAAAACGATTTTGCAGTTCTTTTAATAAAGGAAATAAACATCTCCTGTATAATCCCACTCCCAGGTCTCTATTCATAAGAAACAAATGCATATGTTCATCTAAAGACTTAAGTATAAATGTTCGCATTAGTTTTATTGGTATTCCTAAAAAGGAAATAGACCAGAGACCTACTGATAGGTAAATACACCAATAAATTGCAGTATATCCACATGATGGAATATTTCTATTCAACTAACCCAAAAAGAATGAGTTTAAAACACAGATGAGGGCCAGGGATTTAGCTCAGCAGTTCGGTGGCCTGCCTTGCAAGTACAAGGACCCAAATTCAATCCCCAGGTAGCAAAAAAAAAGAAAACAACATAGATGAGCCAGGTATGCACACCTATAATCACAGCACTCTGGGAGGCACTGCAAGTTCAAGTCCAGCCTAGGAAATTTAGTAAGCCCTGTCTAAAATAAAAAATAAAATAGGCCTGGGGATGTGGCTCAGTACCAAGGATTATCCCTGGTACTAAACGATGACAACAACAAAATATAACCTTAGATAAAGCTCAAAATAATGATGTATAGTGAAAGGTGCCAGACAAAAGGGAGTATATACACTCATATTACTCATATAAAATTATAGAAAATACAAATTATTCTTTAGCAGTGGAAAACTTAAACCATGGTTGCCTGGCAATGGAGGAAGGAGGGGTGTGGAGAAGGGCTAGAGGAAGAGATTACAAAAGGGCAAAAGGAAACTAACTTTTAGGTCTTGTATTTTTTTATTACCTTGACTGTGATGATGGTTTCACAGGTCTATACTTGTGTTGAAAGTTGTCCACATTAAATGTGTACATTTTATGGTGTGCTGTCTGTCAGTTATATTTCATAAAGCTATTCTGAGACAATGGATAGAAGGGAGTCTTGGGGATGATTTCAGGGGTTCTTCCTGAAAGTCTTTGCAGCCTAATTGTCCAGCCCTCCATCAGGTAGTTGGTGGGAAGAAAGAAAGAAGACTCTTCAGCCAAGCACTTGCAATCCAGTGTTGATCAAAGAGGGACAATGGAAAATAGAGGATGATGCACAAACACAAATCGATGTGTAATTAAATAAAATACTGTACGGATCGCTTGCAAAGTGCCAAGGCAACATTTTATTTTCATATTTGAGATTCAGATTTTTTTCTCCCATGGAATTATGAAATTGTTGCTATTTCTTGGCAGCCAGCATACCGTGATTGTTCTCTAGGAAAAGAGCATCATTCTGGGGGTAGTTATGCAGGGACAATGTCTCACTGTGCTGACTGGGCTGGGCTCAAACTCCTGGGCTCAAGTGAGTTTCCTGCCTCAGTTCCAAGTAGCTGGGACCACAGCTGGGCACCACTGCACCCGGCTAGGAGGCATTATTCGCTAGCTAAGTGTCTCTAGGACCTGTGGCTTTCATGGATTTATTTTACCAATTTCTTGTCCATCTTCTGTTGGTCTAAAACTAGCTAAGTCCTGGGCACTGGAGAGAGTAGGTTGAGCCAGGATTCTTTTTTGTTGTTGTTGTTGTTTGTTTTTTTGGTTTTTGAAACAGTGTCTCACTATGTAGTTGAGACTGCCCTGGAACTCACTATGTAGCCCAGGCTGTTCTTGAACTCACAGTGGTCCTCCTGCCTCAGCCTCCCAAGTGCTGGGATTAGAGGCATGTGCCACCACACCTGCCTGAGCCAGGATTCTTTCATCTTCAGAGTTTACAGGGTCAAGGCACTCAGTTTATTGCAAATTACAACCCATGAGGGACCCTGCAGAACGCATGGGCTTCGGGTATGGCAAATGGAAGAGGCTAGATCAGTGTTTTTCAGGCAGTAAATCATGGACGGTAAATGGATCATGAAATCAGTACAGTGGATTGACAGCATTTTAATACTTATTTCTACCATGTGTGTGTAAAGGTACTGAATTGTAATGCAGAAAATATTTCCTGCTGTAGATTATGATGAAAATGTTTTAGCAATAGTGCCTAACAGATTCTTCGTTTCTTCGACTCCACTTTTCTAAAGATTTCTGATAAGGAGTGCCTCCTTCCAAATACCCAGGGATTCTATTTGAAAGTGTTATTTCTTCTCATGGTCTCATCCCAAAATTTCCTAAGTTAGCATTAAAGTTTATATCTAAATATCTCTCAAAGTTGTATGCCCTCATAGGTGGGGGCTCTTGGGAGGTGACTGGATCACGGGGGCATGATACTCATCAACCTGTTAATCCACTGTTGATTTAGAGCTAACTGTGATGTTGGGAGGAGAAGCCCGGAGGGTAGAGCTGGCTCCCTGGGGGCGTGGCCTGGAAGGGTTCTCTCCCTCCCTCTTCCCTTCACTTTCTGCTTCCCATGACCTGGCCATGAGCTGTTCTCCTCTGCAATGCCCCTTTGCCATGCTGCTCTGCCTTGGAGCCAGCTGACTATGGACTGAAACCTCTATTAACCGTGAGCTGAATAAACCTATCCACCTTTAAGACGTGGCCATCAGGTATCGTGCCCCAGGAATGAGAAAGTAACTAAGATAGATTGATTCAGTTTTGCTCTTTTATTATATTTGGTATTTCTACTGCAATTTAGCAATAGAATCTGTTTCTTTCTTTTTAAGTTTTACAGTACTAGAGATTGAATCCAGGGCCTTCACTCTGAACCGTATCCCCCGCCCTTTTTTATTTTTTATGTTTGAGACAGGGTCTCACCACTCACTCAGGCTGGGTATAAACTTGCAGCCTTCCTGCATCAGCCTCCCAAGAGAACTGGGATTATAGATGTGTGCCACTGTGTTTGGCCACCATACAATGGTACCTTGGTTCGTGAACTTAATTAATTCCATAGTTCTGGCCAAGATGGCTGTGGCCCTGTTTATTACCTGATGTGGAGTTCACAAATGGAAGCAAAATTTTGCCAAATGCTTCTGTTAGCAGACTGAATTGCTCTCAAGCACAAGTATTCGTGGACTGAGGAATTGTTGTGTAATTGTTTGAGAGTAATTCTTTGTGTCGTATTTGTCTTTGTAAAAGCTCTCTTCAACCTGACCAGAGCTGCACAAAGAAGGCTTTCAATGAAGAAGGCTGTATTTTTTAAAAGGTCTTTAGTTTAAGGCCTTATATCAAGAGCTTACTCCATGCAGGACAGGTGTCTTCTATAACGTTCACCATGCTGGGTGCCATGAACGTGAACCATGGCAGCTCATCTCTGGTACTTTCCAAACATTCAGAGGCCCAGTGCAGAGAGTAGAAGCCCTGGGAACGTCCTGGGGCTCAGCATAGCTGACTTGAAGCTGTGTCTTCACGGTGTAGACACCCTCAGGTAGAGATGCTATAGTCTCCTCTGTGAAACTGAACAACTGGGCAATGTCTGTCACATAGGCAAAAGGAGCACACACACACACACACACACACACACACACACACACACACCTCCTTTCTCCTTGTCTGGCTGGAGGGGAGACACTATGTGGTTCCCTTAGCACCTTGACCCTCCTGACTGTCATCTGGACTCTGGTTCCTTGAGGACACTGAGAACAGAGCCCTCTGGAAGCAGTTGGGCCATTCTGAAGAGAGCGAGAAATATAAACAGCCACCTTCTGTAGCCAGGACAGGAAATAAGCACCCTTTCCGTCAGGAAGGAAACGGCCATGGGAAGTGATGGATAGCCAGGCCAGGCCGGGAACCACAGTGCAGGTGAGAAGCACCAGCTTCCTACAGTGTCGGGCGTTTCAGGAGAAGGCGTGGGCAGGGAGTCACTGGCAGAGAACCATCTGCGCCTGGGAAACTGAAGTTCAGGGTGGAGGAGGTGACCAGAAGAACGGGCATTGTCATTGCAACTTACCTGCAGAAAGGAACTTGACTTTCTAGAGCCCTCAACCCCAGGGAGAACAGCCACAATCTCATCCTGACATAGGGCTCCCAGGGCTGGGATGAGTGTCTTCATCAGCGGACTGGGCTGTGTTATTTTACAGAAGAGGGATTTTTTTGGTTGTTGTTGTTAGCTCAAACTTTCAATTTATCTCCACAAAAAACTTTTGAGCCTGCGCTATGAGTCAGACACAGGGCTGGGTAAAGAGGGTGTGGATTGCTGAATACTCGTCTCTAACCTGGGCCTCTGCAAATATGTATTAAGGTCTCTGTTTTACCGGACACCGAAACTGAGTCTTAAAGTGGCATCGTAAATTGCCTGGTGCGCTCCTGTGTGCAGACCCGGATGTCACACTTCACTTCACACAGCTGCACATTAACTGGGCCCTGGGGAAAGAGGAGGGAGTGGCCGCGCCTGTGGGATCCGCTGGGCCGGTGGACCTCTGCGTGGAGACGGAAAGGTCAGACGCCACCGCCCCCGCTGCCCCATTCCTCTGACCTCGCTGTTTCATCCTCAGTTTACCCATTCTCCATGAATGTGTTGGTTTAGGCGCCATTCTAACCCCTGGGGGATGCAGCAATACATAAGATACAGCAGAGCTTGCATTTTGGTAAGGACAGAAAAATAAAGATGTGAAGATGTGTGAATACAAAACTGCCAAGAGTAATAAGTATCATGCAGAAAAGAAACCGGGGGGTTGATACTATTCTGAGCTCCTGTCGGTCTGTGGGTTCCTAAGAGTTCGTGGCCTCCCCTGCTTCGTACTGCGCCTGCTCTGTACCCATGTTCCTTGCTCAGCTCAGTCTTTAAATGCCATCTTGTATAATAGAAGCTTCTGCTTATGAAAAGACCGCAGTGAAGGGTGGAGCGTGATTACGGTGGGCTGTGAGGCGTCCCAGACGATGTCCCCGGAGAAGGCTCCTCTGCAGACCTGCATTTCATCTGAGAGGGAGCTTGGGGGCAAGATCTGGGGGAGGGGCCTGGAGGGCTCCTGATGTGGGAAAGCAGCGGCAGGAGTGGCGATGGCCCTGCAGGGAATGACCCTTGCCAGCTACAGGGACAGCGACAGTGACGGGCAGTGACTGGGGCCAGGTGAGTGAAGGGAGAAGGTGAAGAAGGGGCTGGGTGAAGTGGCAGCGTCATACCCCGGGGCATGCCAAGCCCATATTGTTCTAGGCGTGACCGGAAGTAGATTTTATTTTGAAAAGATCAGTCTCTTAGGAACTCTGAAAAGATTGCAGGGCCCCTGTTGCTTTTCCTCCTCTCCTTCCCTTGCTCTTGCCAGGGTTAGCCTTTATGCAGCTGCCACAATCCACCTGTGTTGCTCTTTCCAGATTTATCAACTCCCCAGGGCTGGGCTTTGGTTGTTACAGGGCAGGGAAGCAGAACGAGGCAAGCTTTCACTTTATGCCACTTTTATGGGTGACAAATCCACTTAGCTAATAAGCTTCAAGTTGAAATGTGACCACGAAGACATGCTCTATTTGCTTGATTTATATCGTGTCCATTTCTTTCCTTAATTAAGCAAACAATACCTCTCCTGTCATCTTTTCTGAGCACACTTTTCTACTCCCTTCTCCTTTACTGCCACCCACCCCCACACACAAGTATTTCCTGTTGGGGACAGAAGGGAGACAGGCTGTCACTTCCCTGGCTCACTTGCTGTTCTTCCCAGCTGGAAACTGCCTGTGTTTCCATCTCTGTCCCAGCAGGAAGGCTTCAGTTACTTTTATCCAATTATGTTTAGCTCGTTTAAGGTTATAGCTATGATTCATTGATTTTTTCCCCCCTGACTTGGAATTAGAGCCATGTATTTTACTATCAATGTTTTGTTTAGACATGTTTTAAAAGGCACAGCCAATTTAGAAAGTTCTTATATACATCGCCGAACAAAAAAGTGACAAAAAAGTAGGTGAATTGACTTTATCAAAATGAAAACATTTCTGGGCTGCAAATATTATCATTTAAAAAGTAAAAAGATAACTAGTGGAATGGGAGACATTATTTGCAAGTTGTAATACCGGTAAGTGACTTGTATTCAAAGTATTTAGATTGATTTTACAACTCATAATAAGGCAAATTATTCAATTTTAATGGGCAAAGGATTCGAGTAGACTTTTTCCAAAGAAACTATATAAGTGGTTAATAAGCACATGAAAAAGTGGTCCATACTATTAGTCATTAGAGAACTGCAAATCAAAACTGCAAAATATACCATTCCATATCCCTCTGCATGACAACAACCAAAAAGACAGACAGTAACAGGTGTTGGTGAGGGTGTGGTAACATTGAAACCTTTGTCCTCTGCTGGTGAGGATGAAAAATGGTGCAGCTGTTGTGCAAAGCTGTCTGTTGGATCCTAAAATAGTAAAGGCATGTTAGGAGGACTCAGAACTCCACTCCTAGGTATAATACCCAAGAGATGAGAAAAGGTGTGACCACATAAAAACATATATATGAATGTTAGAAACAGCTTTCATAGTAGCTAAGAAGTAGAAATAATCCAGTGTCTATCAGCTGAATGATAGGATAAATAAAACATATTTTATTCATTAAAATACAATATTATTCAGCAAAAAAAAAAAAAAAGAAGTGAGTTGCTGATTCATGGTAAAACATGGATAAACTTGGAAAACATCTTAAATGAAAGAAGCCAGTCACAAAAGACCACATTGTATGGATCCTTTATCTTATTTTCTTTTTCTCAGTGCTGGGGATCAAACCCACGGCCTCACACATGCCAGGAAAGCACTCTACCACTGAGCTATATGATTCCTTTTATTACTCTTAATTATTCACTATTATTATTTTGTAATACTTGGAAATGAACCCAGGGCTTTCACAATGAGCTACATTCCCAGC